TTATGGCGAACTGTCATCAGAATTGATTACCTCAAGTGGTGTTCGTCAGGGCTGTTCACTCTCTCCATTCTTGTTCAACTTTGTTGTTGGTGTGCTTTTGGAGATGACACTTGCCTCATCTAAATTTCCAAGGGTTGAACTTCTACCGGAAGATTCACTTTCTGACCTAGAATATGCCGATGACACAGTTTTATTTGGTGAAGACGCTGTCAAAATACAGACCACTCTAAGTAGTAATGCAAGCATGTTCGGGATGCGATTCTCTCCCTCGAAATGCCAAATGTTGCTTCAGGATTGGATTGCATCGACATTCGAACTAACGATAGGGAGTGAAGTAAATGAGCTTCACTTATCTTGGAAGTCTCATCAGCCCTTGTGGTCTGGTGTGCGATGAAATCTCAGCACGAATACAGAAAGCTCGACTAGCTTTTGCCAACTTGCGTCATTTACGGCGTAAGCGAGATATCCGTCTATCAACCAAAGGACGTGTTTACTGCGCAGCAGTTCGTTCCGTCCTACTTTATGGCAGTGAAACATGGCCAGTAAGAGTAGAGAATATTCATAGGTTACTACTTTTTGATCATAGGTGTCTTCGAAACATTGCTCATATATCCTGGGACCACTGAGTAAGTAACACAGTTGTTAGGAAACGGGTACTAGGTAAGGATGGCAAATCAATTGATGAAGTAGTGAAACTTCATCAGTTGAGATGGCTGAGACACGTGTTACGTATGCCCAATGGTATAGGAGTAGGTTGGAAGAAGGCTAGGGGCGGCCAAATGACGTATGTATCTATTGTTGGTCACCGACTAACATGAAAATGCATATCCTGATGATGCTCCACTGTCTTGTGGATCAGATCTTTATATCGAAGGCTTAGGGTATGACTCCTGAGAAAATTACCTTTTTCGCTTTGAGCACACGACCAATATCTCAGCCCTCACATAAATCATTTGATTTATGTGACGCATGTGTATTTGATACCCTCTTCAACCAATCTTCATATGTTTAAATAAATAATAATAAATATGGGAATCCTCAGATTCCTACTTTCAATGGTAGTCTATCTTTGATTGATTCACGAATTCAACTATTAAAATTACTACAATCTCCCCTATTCTGATAATTATTTCTGAATAAGGAGCATGAACATTTTACATGATTGTTATAATGATTCTAGAATCAATTCAATTCTCATACAAAGAAGTAACAATATGATCCAGTATGTTAATCATAAAGAATGTAGAGCTTGATATATATGTGCATTTGACTAAGTGATCATACCACATAAACATAATGTGATGAAATAAGCAAAATGCATAGTGTTGTGGATGCGGAGGAATAGACCAATAATTATCATGTCAATCCAATGGTGTCCTTGGACTTTAAATGGACATTTCCTATTGGTCGATATCTGTTCACTTGTTGAATATTGTACAAAATGTTGTTTTCTATTTTATGGTACGATGTGGTATGCTTGATTGGTATATAAACAAAGTATGTTTGAAATATAATGATTCATATCTACAAAGCGGTGACTTGTGTTCTGGACTCAACTGACTGGGCTGGACAGGTAAGCGAGACCAATCGAGACTCTAGGCCGTCCGTACGTGTTTACGTGTCATTGAATCGATCGATAAATACGTTGCTCTCTAATTTTTCCAGTCAAGGACACAACAATTAGAACAGGGTAAAAATCTACCGCAACTTAAATTCATAACACATAGTCTTGCTAATTGAAGTCTATATGCGGTTCCTAAACTATTCTCGTAACTCCCAAGTTAGAACTACATAGCGACCTAAACACAAGGAAAAATGCACAAAATTTGTGAGAAGCACTTTACTCCAAACGTTCATTTTAGTGAAGAAAATATATGGTTTTTATAGTATTTTAGATGTCTTTTGTTTTCCGAATAAATCTGGAATGCTACTAAACATAGTAGCAGTGTAGGTAATAATCCAATCAGAAACTCTACATGTAACTTTTCACTTTGTTGATGTTTCTGACTAAACTTGAAGTGAACGCTGATTAGATAAAATGCTTCTTAGTATTTCCTGAATCTTTCTTCAGTGAGAAGTTTTCTGGATCATCCCTACATATAGTGATATTACCTACTATATACTTCTATAATAGCTAGTTTGTTATTTATTGGGATAATGAGATAAAAATGGTGATAAATTAGTTAAACCGGTATGTTATTCATAATGTGGTGTGTGTTACTGATGTTGACAGATATAATTACCATGTATCATCGATTGGAAATGAAATGTCTGATGGCAGAAGATTAAGAAGATCAAAGAAATGAGAATGAGAACAGAGAATGATTGGTATGGACATGAAAGAATAATCAAGTCTGAGACGATTGATTGACTTTTTGCAAATGAAGTATCTACTGTATAGTTCTTGGAATTTAATAAGAGATTCTGTAATTTTGTGTTCAGAGACATTCGACTGTTCCAATATCGAGACAATGCGCACAGAATTCACATATGCCAACAAGAGACTCATCAATCGCAGTCTTAAGTAACAATGGGAAGATACAAGTAAAACAACACCAAGTGAATATTTACTGTATGGTTCGCCGATTTTACTAAATTTTTTAAATTTTGAGTACAAATACATTCGGTTGTCTTCACTTGTGTTCTCGTTCATTGCAATATCATTATTGACAAGAGTTTGAATTATCCTGATGTTTGTATCCACAAGTGAATTTCAGTCATTCATTGTTGGCTTATGAAGGGTTGTCTTAATATAGCCATATTATCACATATCATTTTTAATAGATGATTTTTCGTAAACAGTTTCTTTATGGTTCGTCAGTTGTGTATCTGCATCGCTGCATTCATGTTCGTACTGTAACTCGAATTATAACTTTACCACTTCAAACTCATCACTCAACACGTTATCGGATGAATTGATAAGATGAATTGCTTTCTAACTTGTTCATTACACAACTAATGATTTTGTTGCTTTGATTAAGACACATATACATCGAAGTGCTTACTAACTTCAATCAAATTTACCTTGGTTCATTAATGATTCCTTCAAATGTTTCTATGATAAAATGGAAGGATAGAAATGTTTTCTGTTTGTTATGATATACTATTATTGTGCTAGTGTTGACGGAGATTCTACAACCTCAGAATAGACACTCAATCAGTATACTCTATACATAAACTGGAATCTCTTCATATCATATACACAGTTCACAACTAACAATGAAATACCAGTGTATAGGTTAGATAATGTTTTATTCAATACGATTATAAGCAACCTGCATTCAAATTAGTTCAAAATAGGAATAAATAAAAGGAAGGAAATAACTTATCAAATTGTTGATAACCTGAGTATCTGTGTGTCACATTGTACTTTCACTGAACACATATCCCTCATCTTCAACCTTCTTGATCATTCTTCTCGTTAACTTCAACAACAACAACAACAAAAACACAACCAAACATCGATAGATACTCCTTTCATGTTACAACACAGTGTATAAACTTGCACGTATCTTCTAAAGAATATACATTGTTAGAACGTTCAATTAATATTTTAACTGAGAACCTTCTTCGTCGATGTCATCAGTTTTATTTAATATTTACTGTCAAATGTTTATGAACTGTGAGGAAAAGTTGATAGACACCTAATGAAATCAACTGAACTTATGTTATTTTGTCAGAATCCTTCGTTTCGCTATTGTTCAAGATGATAAATGGAACTGTGTACATAGAAATAATACGTTTGAATAGCTATTTTGTTTGTATGAAATGTAGTCAGTCAGTCAGTCAGTCAGCTAAAACGTTGGACCAAGAGCATATACATAAGTCGGTTCAAGCTGTTATACCTCATTGGCACAACAAGATGAACACCAAATTCATAGATAGAGTTACTTCAATAGTAGTTACATATAAAAGAAAGATTAAGCATAAGAAAAAGGTAGAAAAAATTTTAATCTCACAATTTAACAGAAGGCAGAGAGTGTATACATCTATGCCATTGTGTTCGATTCTGAGCCATGTCACTCAGAGTCTCCAACCATTGGTCACGAAAGTCACGTGGACTCAAACCAAGTAGTCTGCATCTACCAAAATGGCTCAGACCAGAAGCTAGTGACCTCAAGCACTGATGTCGCATTTTGGTTTGACCATCCGTAACTTACATTCAACCGTCTCCAACACTAATCAGCATTTCGCGTTGTGGTAATCAATGTTCAGGTATACGTAACACGTGGCCCAACCATCTCAGTTGATGAAGATTTACAGCCTCACCAACTGATTCACCATCCTTACCTAATATAATGCGAATTAATTTGTATACAACTAAGAAGTTTATTCATCATTGCAAAACAACAAATACTGACAAATAAATGTTGATGATGCGTAATAAGAAGTAATTTCTTAAATCCTGCAATAATAATTAAGATTGATCTGTTATGTTGTAGTTCATGATTAGAATATAACACAAAATTAGTCAATGTTTTATTGTAAGTTATATGCAATTCTTAACTTTCGGTTGTTTTTTTCTCTCAATATACTACTGTAGTGTACGAGAACATCAGTTGGTACGGGCAAATGTATTTGAACACAATATTACAGAATGTCTTAGTAAAATCTAAGAGTCATACAGTAATTACTTCATATGCAAAAGATGAATCAATTGTCTCAGAATTCATTATTCTTTTGTTTCTACATCATTCTCTTGTCATTGATCTTTTTAATTATCTACTGTCAGTTATTTCACTTTTTGATGAATAATCCATACTACTTATATCTATCCATATTAGTAGTACACATCATAATACATTATTATGTAGTTCATTGATTAGAAAATGGTGTATATCAGATATGTCAATTCGATTTTCAACAGTTTATTTAAAGTAGTTGATTAAGAATATAGTGTAATTTGATAATCATGGCAGAAGTGAACTTATGAGAATGAGTTAAATTGTTAACTTTTCACGAATCATGTACAAACATTTGTTATTTATCATTTATTTACATCATTTTGATAGAATACTTTGATTAATACATGAACAACAATAAAGACTAGGAATTCTTTGATACTCATCTTGATATTCAGCTTTCATTATAGTCTGTTGTTGTTGTTGTTGTCGTCGTCGTCGTCGTCGCTGTTGTTGTTGACGTTGATATTGATGATGTTCACTACTTATTTCTTCATCAGTAGTTTTCATTTCATTCAATTCAGTTTGAATAATATCATCCACTGATGTATTCAATGTTTGTTTTATATAGATTGATGAACTATAACTAAATTTACACCAATGTAAGATTTTCAATGTATGAAAATAATAAGTGAAATAGTATTTGATTAAATGTCGATATTTCAATGATTGATATAATAACATTGGTAATATGAATAGGAATCTTTGACTAGACCATATTCTTAATAAGCCAGATATAAATTGAATAGAACATAGTTGATTCATAGATTTTGTTAATAACATACTACTATTTAATGTATTTGTAAGTAGTGGTAATAAGCCTGAATGATTTGTTTTAATATTATAATTTTCATTGAAATTTGTATTGAAATGTTGTTTAAATGAATGAATATAATTTGGTATTATAATATTACCATTGAACCATTCAATAAGATCAGCTAAATCAAATAGAATATACATAAGACTTAAACAAATTGTTAATTGTGTTGGTTCAGTAAATAAAGTTTGTTGATAATTGGAATGATGAATTGATGATTTTAATGGAATAATTGATTGTTCTATTTTCCAGTTTCTATGAATGTTGTCAGGATTCGAACAAGGATTACATGATGTATACGTGATTTATGTATAGCTATAAAACTAAGTAATACAATTGAACTGATTATGAACATATAAGGTAATATTGAATGACAAACCTATAAAACAATAAGTTTAAAGAAAGAAAAGAAAAGAAAACAATCAGAATAAAGTTGCCATGGTGAAGTATATCAAAGAATCTTTAACAGTATACTTGTATAGATGGTATAGAATCATTGATACACTCTTTAAATTAGTTTATTCATTGATTAACTGTGTGTAAAATGGAAGGTAACTGTTATATCTAGATGCTTATATTCTTGATATACCGCGTATAACTTCAGCACTAGAACTCTAGAACCTTTCCAAGTCGCAATGAGAAGAAAGAAGACTAGTGAAAAGAATGTTATTACCAGACAGTGTCAATTATAGTACAAAAGTGTCAGGTATTTATAGTTTTTAGTAAGAAACGAAATCATCATTACAGTCTTCCAATTCGCATACAGTGGAGTTATTAGCATTGTCCAATCGGGAAGCTACACGTAGGGATTCTAGAATATTCTTCCAAAAGGTGATTAGATGAAATATATTCGGCTTTTTCTGAGCTTCTTACAGCTTCCTCAAGTTTACCTGTGGACTGTCCTCACAGTAACATAGTTTTGTGCTAAGAATTTTATTATTTTTTTATTAAACTTGATCAATGTGTTTATTCAAAGACAATTTGTTAAGAATAGACAATATGAAATTCTGTATAGTTTATTAAAGATTATTTTAAGATTGATCAATGAGATCAAACTATTTTGATAAAATGGTGATTGATTCAAATTATACACCATTTAGTTATGATCTGAATGATAATCAGATCAGCAAATTGAGATATGAGGTAATATTGGCTAAGAAGTGATCACAGATGAGATCAAATTCATTCAATGGTTATTTAGATAATAAAGTTTAGTATATTTCCATATATATATCTGTTCATTTCTTTTAGTTTAACTACATACACAATATTAAGTGAATCTTTATTATTGTCCTATATGGTTCACTTTGTGTTGTGGTGATCGAGAAAACTTCTCACAAAAGACAAAATAGATTCAGGAAATACTTAGAAAGCATTTATCTAATCAGCGTTCACTTCAAGTTTAGCTAGAAACATCAACAAAGTGAAAAGTTACATGTAGAGTTTCTGATTGGATTATTACCTACATTGCTACTATGTTTAGTAGCATTCCAGATTTATTCGGAAAACCAAAGACATCTAAAATACTATAAAAACCCTATAGTTTCTTTACTAAAATGAACGTTTGGAGTAAAGTGCTTCTCACAAATTTTGTGCATTTTTCCTTGTGTTTAGGTCGCTATGTAGTTCTAACTTGGGAGTTACGAGAATAGTTTAGGAACCGCATATAGAGTTCAATTAGCAAGACTATGCATTTTGCTTATTTCATCACATTATGTTTATGTGGTATGATCACTTAGTCAAATCCACATATATATCAAGCTCTACATTCTTTATGATTAACACACAGGATCATATTTTTACTTCTTTATATGAGAATTGAATTGATTCTAGAATCATATAACAATCATGTAAAATGTTCATGCTCCTTATTCAGAAATAATTATCAGAATAGGGGAGATTGTAGTAATTTTAATAGTTGAGTTCTTGAATCAATCTGAGATAGACTACCATTGAAAGTAGGAATCTGAGGATTCCCATATTTATTATTATTTATTAAACATATAAGGATTGGTTGAAGAGGGTATCAAATACACATGCGTCACATAAATCATTTGATTTATGTGAGGGCTGAGATATTGTTCATGTGCTCAAAGCGAAAAATGTAATTTTCTCAGGAGTCATACCCTAAGCCTTCGACATAGAGGTCTGATCCACAAGACAGTGGAGCATCATCAGGGTATGCAGTTTCATGTTAGTCGGTGACCAACAATAGGTTCATTCGCCATTTATACGCTGAAGATCCTAGAGTCCATATACACCATCGGTTTGGAATTTGGGTCATACAACTCCCCTAGGTTGATCCTCCATATATGCTGAAACTTGGATAAAGCTCCGGATATTCGCTTTTCGTTCTCACAATTTCATAAACATTACTCTCTCCGTGAGAACGCAGTAAATATGATTTCCCTGGCAGTGGTTGTATATGCGTGTCCACGTGAATCATTTCGATAAGAGAGAGAGAGATCTGACTCTGCACACTCTCGGCTGTACCAGGGCATTTAGGGGCGAAGATTTCCATACTAGGGCAAAACGACGGTTCAGTGCTTTCAGGTTTTCAATTGTGGTCTAGATTAGATCAACTCATAAATTTAACATACATAATGCATTAATTTATATTTAGTAGTTCTTATATCCAATAGAATTCATTAAATTCATGTTCATTATTGTCATTAAGCTCATAACATGAATATGACAACATTGGGTCATCATAATATTAATGTTGGTTAAACAATTCTTTAAGTAGTATAAACCACACAATAAGATGTACTGCTGAATCTTGGAGCTTTTTAAAGGTGATTACTTATGTATAATTCATTCAGATATATTTCAGCATTCTTTAAATTGAGTCAGAACAGTGAATCCAAGGACTTTGGTTCTTATTTTATTGGAGACTTGTCAGCTAGATGTAACTTGATGGATCATGATTTAGCATCTGAATAAATAAGCACTAGGTTTAAATTTGAATGTGAACATTAACAGCGGTATACAGTAAGAGTTCCTAGACTAGTCATAAATATAAAACGACAAATGTCCTGCATTTGACTGATAGTTAAAATCCATATCTACTAAAGCAGTTTCAAGTGCAAATAATCTCGAGATGCCTGTACAACTCACTGAAGACTAAGTGATCAATTAATGAAGATATTTTACTTCCCAAAATGTAGTCTGTTCATAACATATTCTAAGCGGCGAGACTATAATAATAAATAGACAAAGCAATCAGATTCATGATAAGAAATCTTAGATTTCAGCGCAAACTTCTTTATCTATTCGGTTATATAGTATCTTGGCATTTTAGCTGATACTAGTTCATAATCCCTATTCCTAACCATCAGATGTAAATCACAACCCTTACTTTTCATACAGGTTTAAAATCCTCATTTAGTCCTAGTTAGTAGGTGGACATTCTCAAGGCTACTTTAGCATCGCTCAAAGATCGTCCATAGAATATAGTCTCACCTGCTAACCCATCCAGACATTTCTATGTAATCTAGAAATAAATTAATAAAGTACTCATTACAACGTTAAAGGTTGTTCATGAAGATAAGGGGTTGAATAAAACAACTCATTTCTAAATATATCAAGACTAGAAGTATGGTAAAAGGTCAGAATGATAATCAACATCTTGTGTTGAATGTTATTAAGGAGATTTTGGTGAACATATATAATATGAATCTATTATCACTCATGAAATGGATTAGATTGATGATATCAAACTTCTATATCATGAAATCCATTAAGATATTGACGGGACATAGTGAACACATATACATGCAAGAATGATCTTTTTACAAAACACCGGTTTGTACCATCTTGAATTATTGATAGATGAGCAAGTCAATGAAAACAACGATGAATGAGGATAAATAACAATCTGAGTAGTATAGATGTGATAATCTCCAAATCCACCTAAAAAAATTATTATTGATCAGTTTTAAACAATTACTCTGTAGGATTCTTGATAACCGGTTTACTTGAGAAGATTGTCAACATCATCCGAAATTCATACGTCGAACTACAGTGCAAAGTGGTGCATGGAGGATAGCTCACAGATGCATTCTAAGTAAGGACCGGATTCAGACAAGACTGCCTGTCGATTGGATTATGAATACCTAGATATTTGAATTGTTTAGTTACTAAATTACTCAGAGTGTGATGTATGCTACTTATATCTGTCGATATAAGTAGTATGTAACACCAACCAGAATAGAAACCCCAACAGAAGAAGACTAGAAAGACTGAGTTAAAGAGCATAGAAGAGAAAATAGAAAATTACTGTGAATTAATATTGAATGAAGATGAAACGAATGAAATCTTATTGATTTATTGTTTAAATAGAGTATTAGAATAGAAAACTTTGCCATGAATACAATATTATTCTCAACTTAAATGAGCACAGTAAACGCCCACTGTTTAGATTAGGGAGTGATTAATTTTGCTATGAATTCTTTACTTTTTTATTATTATTTCGGGATGAAAATTACATATCCCACCTAATTGACTATGTAAACCACAAGATTTTTTTTGAGACCATGGTTTGCTACTTAATACTACTCAATAGAATAACAGTAGTAACATCACGCAAAATTCTCATTTTGATATTTGATAGAAAAAAAGGGTCAGACTATAATTTATGGATGAACTAATCAGGTGTAAGATAACAGGTCACGGATTTTGGCGCAAAATTCACTTATCCATTTGGCTAAATAGATTTATGGCATTATAGCTGATGTCAGTTCATGATGAAAACCCCAAGTGTAATTCCTAACTCTAACGATCAACTGTAAGTCATAATTCGAATTCCTCACACTGGTTCATAACCTTCATTCGGTCTTGGTTATTAAGTGGATGCTCTCAAGGTCAGTCTAAAGTTGCTCAAATGTTTCCCACAAATTATAGATTTGGTATTGACTACATAATTCACAATCGACCAACATAAATCAGTATTTCTTAATATTAAGCTTTCATTATCTATTCTCTAACCATTTCATAATGTTTAATCTTTCTCATTATCATTGTTACTATGTTATTATGAATTCTTTTACTTCTCTTTATCTAAATACGATAATTTGAACTAATGCATTATTTGTACATGGTATATTATGATTATGATTGTAAGATAAGTCAAACAGATCAGTATACTTCGATACTTTGATGAACATGTTACTTAGTAATAATCAATCACAATCTCAAGAATCTTAGTTTGGAAAATACAAACTAGAACCATCATCATGAGTAAACCATCCAGTTTAGAGAGTACAAGTATACCTAAACGATACTATAATCAGGAACACTAAGTATTCTTACATCAGAACTAAATTACTGTACCTAAGTCATAGGTATTTGTTCATCAATGTCTGAGGCCATCTGGAACCTATTCAAGACCAAAGAACACATCACGTCGGATGTAGAAGCAGATATGAAGAGATGAAAACCAACTGGAAAGAGCTAGAAAGGATTGTCCAGGACAGGGTTGGATGAAGAGTGCTGATGGGTGGGCGATGCTACCCCACGAAGAGCAACAGGCGTAAGTAAGTAAGTAATTCATTCAATATTCAATGGATGTTTTGTATTCATCATTTTTGTCAATCTGTCATTTATTTAATACATGAGTGCTACATTACTGAAATGAGATTATCACTTGAAAATTCATCCCAAGCTCTAATGTATGCCATGTTTGTGTCTTTTTTATCTGACATTTTAAGCTGTACTAAGTTGATATATTTAGAAAGTAATATTTGCAAATAACTGTAAAATGAAATAAGAAGCTCTGGATACGGTACACTTATTGTGAGTTTAAAACATTATGGAAAACTGTAACCATATAGTTCAATACATATGAGATGGTGGAGAAGGTTTGTAGCTCAGTTGGACGATTTTAAAGTAGTTTTGTTCTCTGAGATGGATGGTTTGGTCGTGGAGCTTTCATCGTTCTTCTGAACGACATCATCAACACAAACTTCAGATAGAAGTGAAGTGTTCGAATTTCTCCAAATATGGCTCATAGCCTGTCCTGCAGGATGATCTGGATCACCTTACCATACATTAAAAGGCATATCAGAAACTACAACGAGATTGTTGAAACCTAAAAAAGTGAGATACTAAAATTTAATAATTTTGTGATTGGTCGGTTGAAACATTTGTTAGAGATTAGGTTCAATTCTGAAAGCTGAACTTAACATGGAGTTAAGTATATCTGAATACAGATTTCTAAGTAGAATATCCTGGATATTGGAGGTATTGTAGTCTCTCAGATGGAAAGCTTGGTTATAAGGTTTTAATCGTTCTTCTGAAAAACATCATTAGCATGTAATTTAAACAGAAGTGAACGATCGTCAACTGTATGGTCTTTTTTAGTATGTTCGTTTCGAACGGTTTCACAGTGTACCTTGCAGTGCTTAATCCTCTTCAATATTATCTGATAGATTCGGTCGACTTTGATAGGTTTATTAATTAATGCTCAGTTAGAATACATGTCTTTCAACAATACGTTTTCTTTGAGTTTCATCTGTCCAGTATATCGATGTTTATCATGTCTGTTGTCATACTACACTGATGAGTAACAATCAACAAAATTTTAAGTCAACAAAAATAGTGTAATATCTCACTTCTCTTTAAAGTACATGCTAATGATGTTGTTCGGAAGAACAATTAATGCTTTACAATCAAATTACCAAACTGATAGACAACAACAACTCGAACGTCTTCATCTTGAGCTGCACATATTCTCCCCACTGTATCACCTTATATGCTGAGTACCATTGATGATAAACCTCCTAAGTCATCCTACAGATCCAGTGATTAAAGTTTGTAATTTTATTTTTAATTATAAACGCGTAACTTTCACGTCAACTATGTATTCACAAACAAACAATGAGTTATCATTAGGTGTACCATTTCTCTTCCACTTTGCTCAGCCATTCTCCATCCAAATAGGGAGTTGATTGGAGTTCTGTATGTTACATTTGTTGGTAGAACATGCTGGCAAAGACACTCGTGGAGAAAATACAGTTGTTCTCGAATGAGAGCCTGCCTTTTAGCGAAATCCTCTTATTTTCGAACAACGCTCATATGATTTTGAGATGAAGGAGCTCTAAATAGTGAGCTACAAATCTTCTCCATCATTTCAATCTGGATTTCGCAATATTTAACAATTATCAACAAGAATAACTTAAAATTTTCAAAGGATCCAATAGTTTCCTTGTTTGATTCGAACATATATCATCCACTTTAACAGTATGAAATACTATCACTGAACTATTCGAGTCGGGATACTCCGTACTAGAACAAAACAACTAACTTTTAATGGTACTATAACTGGGATCAATCCAAAACAAATACGATCTGAAAATTCAATAAATCTTCATGAAATCTCTCTAAACGAAATCGATATGTTGAATTTACTTCAAATTTATTCAATTAGATTTGATTAGTACTTCTTCTTCTTCTTCTTCTTTTCTTTGATAATCGATCCTAATTGAATCTTGATTAAATCAATCAGGATTTAAGGAAACTCAATAGATGAAGGTTGAAGAGTAAAAGTCCTATTCGAACTACATATTATTAGTATTCTTTTTTCTTTATATAAACCGATTAAGTAATTAACACTTATAAAAAGGGATTAATTGTGTATTAGATCAGGGTATTATGGAAAGTATTATGCAAATGAAGTGTTAAAGTAGGGTAATATGAGTATTCTCCAGTCTGAAGATCACTTATCTATATAATGAATTCATGTTTAGGCCAATCACTGTAGCTAATCTAGCTAGTACATAGTAACTAATCATTATAAACATCCCAGTCTGATATAAGATTAATAAATAGAAAATTAACGTGCACAAAACACGTTGCTAGGCATAAGTGTAAAATTACAAAGAGCTTACTATTTTGTTTGAATTTTAAACTGATAGTTACACGATAAAACTATCCAGTCCAGGTAAAGTAACTTGATCAAATTATTTTCCTTAGTTAGAACCGTTGGATGCCGGCTTAGTGGTCTAGTGGTTAAGTGCTCGCGATCGAAATCAGTAGGTCCTGGGTTCGAATCTCGCAGGAGGCGAGGTCGTGGATGCGCACTGCTGAGGAGTCCCATACTAGGACGAAACGGCCGTCCAGTGCCTCCAGGTTTTCCATGGTGGTCTAGCTTCAATTGACTCATGATTTCAACCAGTGAAATTTCTAAAATCTCCACAAAACCCTTTCTGATAGAAATCTTCTTTATCGTACCAAAATGTTAAAAGTTGTTTAGTTCAAGAAAAAGGTTGACTAGTTCAATGATCATGTACATTATGAAAAGAATCAAAATCTTTACAGATGACTGAAAACAGAGTAATAAGCAATGGTTCTTTTTTTCTATCGATGATCTCAGTTGATCTATCAAGTTATCATTTAGTCAAAAATCCTGTAGGAAAGCGGAAAAGAGAAAGGCCATTACGTTGGAAATAGAAACAGATTTAAAGAGTGTGAATAACAACTGAAAAGGATTGCCCAGGACAGTGTTGGGTGGAGAGTGCTGGTGGGTGACCCATTTTCTTCCACGAGGAGTAACAAGTATAAGTACGTAAGTAACAATTCAAATGATACGACGTCGTTAGTTTGTTGGAGGTAGCCGGTAATCAACTTAAATTTCAAATAATTTTCAACTGAATAACAATCAATAAATATCATTATATGGATTGTGGAGATTGAGATCATGAACCGATTGATGTGAGACCACCATTAAAAACCTGGAAGCACTGTAGGCGGTTTTGTCATATTGTGGTACTTCTCAGTAGTGCGCATCTACGATCCCGCCGCGGGATTCGAACTAAGGGCCTTCTTACAATAACACTATTTGATGCCGGCTCAGTGGTCTAGTAGGTTAAGTGTTCGCGCACGAGACTGAAGGCGCTGGGTGGGAATCTCACGAGCGAAGACTGGATGCGCACTGTTGAGGAGTCCAAGAATAGGACGAAACGACCAGGTTCTCAATAGTGGTCTAACATCAATCGATTCATGATCTCAATTAATTACTAAACTGTCATATATTAACTAACAAATCATAAATCATAACAATCCATACATTACCTTTAATAAATATGGATAGAAAACAGATAAGATTATAGCATCACCAGCAGATAATACACAACGTTTTGTTATTTTACTAATTTTATATAACCATAATAAATGTGTATTCATTAAACATAATAATGATGTAATAATACTGAATAATACTAAACCACCTATTCGACTTAAACCGCATTCATTCCAATGACATAAATCATTTAATAATATTTCATAATCATGATTATTAGTAGTATTACTACATTCTTTGAATGATGTCACATAGTCATTGTTTCTATTCAATGTTTGACATTGTTTATTAGATGTTTGTTTTAATCCATATAGAATACAATCAAAATAAAATTTCTTTTTAAATATAATAGAAATGAATGAAAACAAGATCTTTTTGATGATGAATGATATTGATCAGGATCATTGATATCATATGATGTTACATCATTATTATTATTATTATTATTATAGATTATTTTAGGGATGATTAATTGATTTTTGATTGATTGATTAAGAGTACATTGATTACAATATTGATTAGTTAATTGATTGAATTGATTTTGATTGATTATTAATTCATCATTATCATAATGATTATGATGATGATGATGATGATGATATAATATGGTCATTGTATAAATATGATTTCGATGACGATATTCACCAATAGCTCGATCACATAACATTAAACTTATTAACCATGTTGGTATATATCTTAATATATTTTTTAAATAAGTTAATATACGACAATAATTATCATGACTATGGATACTAATATGTATATTGAAATATTGTGATGTCATCATCATATTTAAACCAAATATTAATAATAACCATAATAAACCAATAATACAATACCATAATAATAATGGCCATGTTGCTGGGAGATAATTTTCTATAATAGATTGACATCTCATTAAGATCATGATCTTTTGATTAGATTTATTTGATAATTTACATAGATGATAAATACCTGTTATAGATATTAGAAGACTTAAACAATTCATGAATAATAATATAGGTAATAAATATTTTTGTAATTCAATGGATACTTTCTCTTGCCATGAATTATGATGCATTAATGTAAATACATTTGTAAACCATGTTGATCTACCTAAATTACACCATGTATATAAAGATTGTAATTGTGTTGATGTATATAGTTTACTAGTTTGATTGATAGTTGCTATGGCGATAGAATGATTTAATAAAATCAATTGTTGTTGTATGAGATCATTTAAATCTAAACATTGATGCATAGTTTTCCAAAATAATGTCAAATTTCTATTCAGTAATTCATTTAATTTTAAATCAGAATAATTATTACTATGATATATAAAAGAGATATTATCATTGAATAAACGTTTAGCTTGATAGATTGCATCTAAATTAAGGGAGCTCATAGTATTATGTTATGCCTTAGTAACTAATGTATTACTATACTATCATTATTAACCATTCCAAAACAGGGAGATATCTTAACAGCTTTATGTATATATATATAGGTGAAATTTTATTGGCTACTGTGATTGGCTAATTATGATTGACCAATCATATATGTGGAAAATATATTAACCAATCACAATACAAGGAATAGAACAGGTTATCTAACCAAAATAAAATATACGAACGACTCGTTTCACAAGAAACTTGGTCGACATTTAACCAAGATTTCGATAGATTGAGTTTCAGGAATTTTCTTATTTTTCAGAATAAATTAGCTTAAACATACTGTGATCATAGATGATAACCGGGTGATTAGTTCTATTTCAAATTAAAGTGTACATTTAGCCGTTTTTGTTTTGAACCATCAACATGTAACATAACGTAATGAACTGATGAAAGTTGAGTATCAGTTTTAGAAGTGCTGAGATGTGTGCTACTCATATTGAAATAAGTCGTATATAACGCGAATCAGAAATATAATATCTGGCAGTTGGAGATTGAGAAGATCAAGAAGAGAATAATGGGAATAGAAAGCAGTTGGTATGGAAATGCAGGCACAGTGATGTCTGGGACGATTGACTGATATTTTCAAAAGGAGCAGTAAAGATTGAGACAATTATTTCACATTTTGTAAATGAAGTGTTTACTATATGGTTCTCATATTTTACTGAGAGATTCCATTGGTCCCACTCGTGCTTGATTTTCTTGACTGAATAGTAACGACGCTTTCGAGTGTATTTAATGTTTCTAACAAAGTGTTTGTTTCATTATGAATATTGTACCTCTTTTTAAGTGTTAACGTATAACATAATCAGCTATAGAAAAGTAAGGTGTATTCGATAAACATAGTTCCTAGACTTCGAACTCCATCAATCAAGTAAACTACACAAATATTGTGTCCTAAAACATGGCACACTACTCACATTAGTCAATACAAAATCAATATTTCTAAATTAATGACATGATGACATGATTTGTGAGCACTTTCTGCTAGTCTCCATATGTTCATTACTTGTAAGAAAGCTGGCCTTGCTTTGCCGACCTGTGCTTTCACATCTGTATCAGATTCTTTTTGTTTATCAATCATGCTGTTCAGGTATATAAAGATTTCTACCTCTTCCAGAGCCTCCACATCAATTGCGACTTCATAGCTGATCACTGTTTGTGATTCTAGATTTCGTGTTTTAGTTCATTTATGTCGTCTTGTTATTCTCACACCTACTGAGAACTTCTCGTGGAATTTCAGTGAAATACTCTTCTTTTCAGTCTGTCAGCACGTATTCTTCCTCTCAAATTTTCTGAACAAAATGTGCAGCATGTTTGCATCGAGTTCTGTATCTGACTTCAGTGATTCAGCTGTTATGTTGTTTGTAAGGAATTCTGCATGTACTGATTAGTGTCTGGCACAACCAGAGAGGCTGGTAAATTCTTCTTGCCTGTTCCTCTGTTCATAATCATAAGTGATTGATTCAACCTCTTTATCCTTCACCGGTCGTTCTACAATATTACTTTTTGTTTTCCAGCTCCTTGATCACATCACTTACTTCTTTTGTATTTTATTCTCTAGCAGCCTTTACGGCTGCAATTTCAGGACTTCTAAATATTTCACTCATCAATTTCAGTACTCTTCTTTACATGTGTGTATTTTTCTGTGTAGTCAGCCTGTTCCTTGACTTTCTTCTCCTTTGTTCGTCTGTTTCTAACTACTATATTCTTGTTGAATCTTCCCTAGTGTCTCAATAGAGATCCATTATTAATGGTGGTGTTTCTTGCGACCCAGAATGCTATGGTAATGCGTTAACCATCTTGACGGCGCTGATGCTTCCTTTGGAATAGAACAATTGCAACTCGGTTTTGCAGATAGAAACGTTACTGTTACCTAAACAGCATTTAATGCTAATTGATAATTATTACTAACAATCTTTTTTTCTTAATTTCATGATTACTTCTCTTTAAAGGGATTCGAACCCTGGTAATTCACTTCTGAGGTGTAAATTATTTTTACTATCTTTTCACATTAAGGTAATTGTGATAGTCGATCATTGGAATAATAAACCATAGAAATTGCAAAGAAACAGACATTTCAATGTAAATGTTTCTGCGTAACCATAGTGATTATTTTGAAAATTTAATGACCATAATAAACTATACATAAGGCTAGAATATTCAAATCAAACTAAACTGAATTCAGCTATCACATTGAATATAGAAATGGAAAATTAGGTCATTCACTTCCATGAAATTAATCGTAATGTTATCATGTTAATGTGTTATCTAATTAAAACAAAACGTTTTATTTATTTATATTAGTTGTTTGAATCTTCCCATTAATGTTTGTGACTACAGTTAATCAGTCTCTTTTGGTATATGTACATAGTGTTAGAACTGCTTGGATATTACTTTCAAGTTGAAAGCATTCTAAATAGAGATTGATGATGGATAAGAGTGGAAAACAGATTGCATTTTTCATCCTATATGGGACTCGCCAGCTGGATGTATCTGCACCTCAGAGTTGATGCTCGATCTGGAGCTCTAAACCAGTATAGTTTGTTTCAAACGCCATAACATTATTCACTTAGCTTCTCAGTCTAGAGGCTTATCAATATTGAAGCTATCCGGACAGGATGGATATATCCCAAAATAGATTGATCACTTGGGGTCGTAAAAATTTCTGGGAAGAGTCAAAATAAATTTCATCTCCTGACAAAAATCCAGTAGCTACCTATGCTCAGTAGCTAAGTGGTAGTGTTTGAAATGGACGGTACTGTGTTCGTGTTCCAGAATGAAAATCAATGATCAGATTCAGGCGCACGTCCAGCTACCGAGTGCGAAATAAGACTTCTAACTACTATTCTACTTTGCATAAAAATTGTCATTGTTGAAATGACTTGTATTACATGATAATACTTGAATAAGCTAATCAGTATTTCAGAATAACAATGAAAGCTCCACGATGAAACCATCCAACTCCGAGAACAAAAATCCACCGAAATAATCCGCCTGAGTTATGAATCTTCTTCACCATCTTCAAGGATAACTCTCTTATTAGTTAAAATTATAAAATAATGTAATCAAGCGATCTATCCAGATAGAGGTTACGTTGGTTAACTAGTATTCCACTTTTCATAATTTAAGAGTGAACATCACGAATTAACCTTAGCTAGACAATCAGTGAAAAATAGGACTCATTCCAAATCTTTTTTATTTAAGTAATCTACTCTTCAGCACTGTTGAGAAGCTGCATACCATGAAGAAATAACTCCCTAGTACATCCTAGTTTCTAATGATAATCAAATAAAGGTTAATCAAACATGTTGACCATAAAATCCACATAGTGATTTCATAGCTTGAATAAAACACATGATGAAGTAATAAGTCTATTTATGTAACTCAACACTGTAGTTCCATTGAAAACATACTGTAGAAGATGATGAACCATGATTATAGTGTAATTATCTTTTAACTATCATAAAGTGATAAAAAGATCTAATTATGTTGAGATAGTACAAGTGAAATACATCAACCATATTAAACTACTGACTTATCAACTAATCAGAAAATAGTTTTTAATTATATTGGAACATACAATAAAGACAGGGTGTAATTACAATTGATGGACGTTATCATAAACGATGAATTATGTTAGGGCTTGAAGTGAAGGCAAAGAATAAGAGTTGGAGTGGAATAATATTTAGTTTAAACCAGATGATATCTGGTTGGCATTTATCTAGCAAGATTCCTTTGTACAAGATAAGGTTGTTAACCCTATCTATACTTAGAACTTCTCCGTTAATCAGGTTAACGTCCGGTACTAACCCCGTAGAATGGCTCCAAGAGTATTAAAAACTCAAGAACTTTTACAATATTATGAAAAATTCATAAATCACGTTAAATGTTTTGTACTTACACAAGTGGGTGACAACCAAATGTATCTGAAAGGAAAATTTCAGAATCACTTAGAAAAATCAAGGAATCATGTAGTCAACACTTCATTTACAAAATGTTCATCAATTGTTTCAGACTTCATCGTTCCTTCATTTCCATACCAATCACTCCCTGTTCTTGTTCTCTTTCACTTTGGATTGATGATATATACTACTTATGGGTGTCGACATCAATAGCAAACGTACAAACCAGATGCCAGCGGAGGAAGTAATTAGGAAGAAGCGCTGGAAGGAGACACATTGAGGAAAACACCCAACTGCTTCACAAGGCAACCCCTCACATGGAATCCTCAAAGCCAAAGGAAGAGAGGAAGACCAAGGAACATATTATTCCGAGAAATACAGACAAACATGAGAAAAACGAACAAAAATGGGATAGAACTGGAAAGGAAGGCTTAGGACAGAGTGGATTGGAGAATGCTGGTTGTCAGCCTATGCTCTTCTATTGGGAGTCACAGGCGTAAGTAAGTAAAGTAATCAACAGTACACACATTATCATTATTATTACTGATAAAAATCTAGAGTAAGGTGCGTATTGCCCGCTTCTATTGATTTAATGATAGTTTAGGTTAGTCAGATAAGTTAAATGATTTCTGAATGATCTTCATTGGAAAGGCTATTGATCATGAATAAATTCAACTTTCTGAGGTATCAACTTAACCCTTTGAGTTAAAAATTTAGTTTAAATTTCTAAACGATATCAATATTTGTTGATTGACTCATTTACACAGTCAAAGCCTTTGAATGACTCTTGATTATCCTATTCATATGGCTGATTTCAACATACCTATAAGAAGTGTACACATCAGTTGTCGATTGTAATGAATACAGAATAGAACAGTTAATCTATTCACATATATACATCTGTGTATATGATGTGTAAATTCTAAGAATAAATCAAAATACAGTTTAAATATGGATCTTAAATTGTAAACCAGTTTCACTGACACGTATGGTGAACGAATACTCAGATGGGGTTGGGAGAATTAGTTTATGGTACCATGTAATGTAAATGATAGAAAACTATACGTCAAATACATGATTTGTACATACTTCATTTCCATTGTTATTACAATGACTTTCT